GCCTGCCAGCTTCAGTGTAAATATTGCTCAAAATCAAATCAATTTGAGCGCAATTTAAACCCGGATGATTGTAATCACTCTTAAGTTTGTCTGTCTTGGGAAAGCTAGCATGTCTCTGACATAGTGATAACACTCGTTGCCTTCTCTAGTGCAGCTCAACCAGGGCTCGTCCCATTCGTCGATATTTGTGATATCACAAATCCCAGAAAATATGCGCTGTAGTCCAAACTAGTCGTTCGTTGTAGTTTTTGAAAGGTGATTTCTGTTAAATAAAATATCTCCTTTTGAATTGGACTTTGAGCTTTGTAACTTTGCAGATCTTTTTATGCTCAAACAGCAACATTACAGACTAACTAAAGTTGAAAAAGTGAAAAAGCATAATAGGACCCCTTTAAAGAGGTTTACATGCTTGGCATTGACATCGATAGACAGCAGATGATTTCAAAGAAGTCGCTGGTTTTGCACAACACTGTGCAGAATGAATTTGATTCGTTTGTTTTTAAAACACAAGTGTAATAATTCAGAAAGTTTGCCCGCTCATAGTATTCCATCTCATTTTAATATTTTTAGAATGATTTTATGTATGTATATGTATTTTGATTGAATTATATTAATTTACCCATGAAAATGACTACAGATAGATCTTTCTTTATCTTCAACAGCAGGACAAAAGCTTAAAATCACTCCAGCCAAAACTTTGATTTGTTCTTTTTCATTTTTATTTTAATTACAATTTAGTTCTCTGCAGTTACAACTTTAGAAGCCAGATGATTGGCATGATTTTATACAGTATTTCAGGGATTTACCTAATTTGTAAATGGAATGTTTGCTCATTCTTTACAAACAGTGATGAAAAACAGCTTACATTTGTTACTCATACAATATAATGTTTTAACCCTATAGTAGGAAACGAATGGCCTGAATTTGTATTTTAACCAATTTCTTTACTTGATCACTTGAATTTCAAAAGTGGAATTATGTATGTACATAAGTTGTTTTCATCTGTGGCATAATGCGCGAGGTCTCAACAATGCTGAAGAATCAGGTACAAACCTTTTTCCTGATTTTCTAACTTTTTATTAATTTTTCTCCCCTCTTTTGGACGACATGCCTATTGACTTTTATTTTAATAGGAACTCTTATTATGAAATATCGCACTTCCGGTGGACGTTAAAGGAGCTATCACACATGTCTCCCTACATGTTGCTGTGGGCATGAGGACGTAGTTTACGTTCTAAAGCGTTTAGTCTTGTGTAATATATAGGTACAACATATTTATTATTTATATTAAATATTAACGAGTCCGTGTGTAACTGTATGAACACGTGTTTTACAGTCATGGGGGATCATGTCGAGTTGGTCGCTGGCTGTTATGAGCAGATAGTATTTGGATATCGAGTGTATCCTGGTGACAAGGTAATTATCATTTTTCAAAACTTAATTCTGTTAATTGATAGAATCTTAATTTGTTTTCATAGTGAATATTAAATGTAGTTGTGTCTGTTGGTTTGTTAGTTTGCATTATCATTTTGATATTGGTCCATATTTAAACTCATAATTTTACAAACAGGCCTATTATTTTTATTATAATAACGTACTCTAATAATTATTTAGACTTTATTTTAAATATAATCTTAATTCTCAAGTTTTTTATGTCTGTTTTAGGAGTGGGCAATTGAGCCCAACTTTACCCATCATGCACACACAGCATCACTGACTTCAGTTTCATCCAGCGACCAGTTCATCGCCACTGGAAGCAAAGATGAAACCATTCAGCTCTATGACATGAGCAAGAAAACTGAACATGGGGCTTTGTTGCTCCATAATGGTGAGGAGGACATTTTGCAATATTTTCTGTTGGATTTAAGTTTATTTTGGTTTCTGATTGGACCGAAAGAGAGTTCGGCTTCAACGATTCTGCATCACTGATATTTCAGTCTCATGTGTTGTCATATACTGTTATAAATGGTAAGCTCACATTCTCGGCAGGTACTATCTCGTGTCTGGAGTTTTACGGCACGTCCCATTTACTCAGTGGAGGACAGGACGGTCTCATCTGTGTGTGGAGCACCAAAAAATGGGAATGTTTGAAATCTCTCAACGCTCATAAGTAAGGGATCTGAAATACACACAAAATATGCTACCGTCCAAAACTTTTCTAAAGAAATTAGTAGTTTTATTTAGCGAGGATTTATTAAAGTAAAGACATTTATAATGTTACAAGAGATTTAAAGGAGACATATCATGAAAATCAGATTTTCCTGGTTTTAAGTGCTATAATCAGGTCCCCGGTGCATCTACCAACCAAGGAAACGTGAAAAAGATTAACCCAGTAACTTTGTTTTGGTAAGCCTTTTTCTGCAAGCTTCTGAGAAAACGAGCACGTCTGATTTCACTCCCTTGGTGACGTGGCAAAGGGATCTCATTATAATATTACCGCCCCTTAATCTGTAAGTTTCCACCCACGGTGCCGTCATTTTAATTTTGCAAGCGACAACAGTGTACTAGTTCTAATGCCATGGCAAAAGTTTGAGCAAAACATGCTAACTGTTCTGTCTTTGGCTGCACAGACGAGCACAGAACACTATTTAGAGTCCCAGCCTCAGACGAGACAAGAGAGCAGTGGATTTATTGATTTATTTAATGTATATTGCTGCTGC